ATTGTAGGCAAAGGTGTGGTGGGTGCGCAAAGTTGGTAGGGTGACCGACTCGCTTGCCTGACCGACTCGCTTATCCGTCACGTTAACCTCTGTAGTGTCGCGACGGATTATACGCGTATGCATCTACGCTGTTGGTAAGGATATTTGAATATCGTTTCCTGGGTGAACGCTCTAGTTCAAAACCTTGGCAAATGTGGAGGTACCTATATTTCGGAACATATACCTCTTAGTTCATCGGAGTTCCCGAGCATATTTGGCCACATTGCACTTTGTATAGGTACATACTGCCATGGTCAAATCTGTCAGAATTCAGCATGGCAGTTACCCCCACCATGCACACAAGCTCATGCCACCGCCAACTTACCGGAACATAGCCTACCATACCCCCTTGCTCCAAGTACGTCCGCTGTGGCGTTCCCTCTAACTATAATCAGGGACAAGGTCTCATAAGGGAACGTCTACATTTTCGGACTCAGCCTCGATTCCACTAGTGCGGAAAACGCCTCACCGGCACCAGAACGGACCCTCCACACTGTTTCACTCCTAACAAAAGGTAGGTACAATGGTTCTATGATTAGTTTGGCTCGCTTCGTGCCGAGCCTTCGCTAGTCAGCTACTGCATGTAACCTTTTGGGATTTCCAGGCCCTGTCCCGTTCCGTTTGGACTAGTATATCATTGACTCAGTTCCTGACTACTGAAGGGGATGAATCCCGCTTTTAGCGTATCCTGGTGCCTCCTACTACTTCTCCCGAATCCTGCTTAAAACGACTCCTTTTTCATGGGTACATAATCAATCCACTGTGCAGTTCCACATCTCCTACCACATCGTTTTAGAAATATGAGTCCCGAGCCTTCCAAGATTCTCCCTGACTCCTTGTACAACATGGCTGCGGAGCCGCAGCCACGAAATCCATATGCTAGATTACCCTCTAGAAGAGCGATTGCATGCGTGACGTGTGCCAAAGCTAAGACAAAGTGCAACAAGGCCGTATGTTTCCCCTAGAAGGGTGCGGTTTCACACAAAGCTCACTCTCAAGGCACCCGCTTGTTCGCGCTGCATTACCAAAGGCATCATCTGTGAACCCCGATCGACTCGCCGTACCTCAGTAAATGTCCATCGATCAAACAAGCGGAAAACATCATATTCACTAGCAACGAGTCACCCTCTGAGTGCTCTCTCACGGGTTGATAGGCCAGACCCGCCTCAACAACTGCCACTTTTGGACGACAATCGCCATGTACGACGCAAGTCATGCAATTCCCAAAGTACCCTAGAAACGGATGTACAGACCCTACCACTCCTCGTACAAGCCGAACCTGCTCCCCTTCTCATGGATGCACCATACGTGATTGACGAGAGTCAGTTGTACGTAAATAATTCCAAACAAATCACGGCTGGCTCGGATCAGACAATGTGGACGAGCAACGTTTCTAGTCTAGGTGGCCTCTCGCCGACTACACCTGAATCCATAGTATTCTGCGAGCCTACAACTATGATTCACTGCACAGACTACACTTCATGTCCGCAGACATGGTACGAAGAAATATCGGATTCGATTGAGCATGGATTCGACTCGTCGTTCAGCGACATAACACCACCACAAATTTTGGCCATGCGAGACGATTCAAGTACGATGCCTTTTACGCCATCAGCATCGTGGTCAGATTCGGACTATGCGCTGTTACATCCACAGACCCTGGTGGAGCCGACATCTTGTTACAACAACGTTGGTTGCTATTCCAGTAGTCAGCTGTTACCGCAAGACTGGTTGCCCTATTCTATGCCGGCTTGGACGATGTTCGAGCATACGAGTCCAGAATTGACCACCATTCTATCTACACAGTCCAATACAATTCTGCACTTTGATCTGGGAGGTGGCTTGATGTGCGGAGAGTCGACATACCATCATTTTTGAAGACAGGAATGGCAGTTAGGAAATGATGCCACGATGCAGCGTTCAAGCCGCTCTTCAGCGTCAAGGGCCCTGGGAATTGCAGTATATCGTTTTTGACTCGGCACGTTCAATACGTGTATTTAGAACTACTCGTTCTACCATCCGCTAGTCCACTCGTTTCGAAAGCCACTGCACTCAAATCATTAGGCTTGAAGTAGCACCTCTTGATCTGAGACTCTACAATATGTAAGATATTTCAGGTAGTTGAAAATGTAGAAGATTCCTCTAAATAAGTCTGATTGAAAAAGTCCAACAACACACGCAAATTTGCATTGCTGTCGACCATGTTTCCAATCAAGTAATGAAGGGTTGAAGGCAATCCGTGCAGCCTCGATCCATCTCCTCGTCGTCTCCGTGGAGTATTCCTTTAGCGCACCGATGCAGAGAAATCACGTGATAGCATCGATCAATGGTGTTACAGTTGCGAGAGCCATTTGCTCCTTTCCCTATTCTGCGTAGTGTTTGCCTCCACGTCGCGTACCCGAGATAACCCGAGTTTCAGTACCCCACATCCCGATCGCCTATTATTGCTGCCAGCGCGGTTCAAATGGCTAAATAGAAGAGCATCTTATTGGTTGACCACACCCCCTCATGGACTTGAAGTACTGGTCGTGTCAAGGACGCTGATCGCAGTACTCTTTAGACCAATGCCGGTATTGTATCTTCTATTTTCTACTACACGAATACTGATCGAACTCGTAAGCATCAGCCTCTTTCGGACCCCCCACCCCCCTCCAGCCATTCCACTTTTCGGTTTTTGGAGGTCTGGAAAGCTCAGTATTAGGAATCCGGCCTTCTCACTGTCATGGTGCCACATCCGTCTCCTCGGGGCTAGCAGATACGTCGTGAATGCAGGCGGATTCTCTGTCATTCAGGCAAGCAGCTCTTGTAAGGACCGAGCTGTGTTGGGCTTGCAGTGTAAAAACGGGAGGCCTATGCTGCCTAATCTCGATACTTCTACACAATCGTAGCCTTGTCAACTGCACTATTCGCTTACCTTGAGGGATTCGTGCTTGCCAGAATTTATTCCTTAATGGGACTCTCATGTGCTTAGACGAAAACGAGGAGATCGCAAGGATCAGCATTAACGTCATGGCGATCTTCAAATCTTTGCACCTATCCAGTCTTAGGCTGATATACACCTTTTAGCAGATACTAGACAATGACGGTCCGTCCCATTGCTTACGCTCTGGGCGCGAACCTTGGACGCGGGGCTTCAATATAGCCTATCACACGGCGACTCTGGCGCCACGGCGTTTACAAGGATGGTGCATGGGTTGTAGGTGAGTAACGCTTATGCTCGGCCAAGCCCCTCGAATGAGGAAAGTTAGGGCAAGGGTAATGCCGTACGTTACCTATCACTATCTTTAGTGATCGACACTGGCGCGAGCGTATTAGGGGTCCGCAACACGTTTGGTCGAATTCTCGGCCTCGCCATATCTCAGCTCTGCCATGCTGGCGCCATAGCGCCTGGTACGTGGTTGGGGTCACACAAGATGTCATGTGGCGGCGTGCGCTGCTTATCGATACGTACTGGTCTTGTCTGCCGCAGGTACTGTAAGCCTGCATTGTCGTGTCATGCACACGCACAGCTATTGCTGCCTCCATGCAGGAACGGTGAGCTCTGTAAGGCATAGCGGCACAGCATATGCACTGCCCCACATGCACCCATTAGAGGCGAAGAGGGCCTGTAAGTCTGTATCCAGTGTAGTCGAGAGCTTACCAAAGTGCTGGGACCAACATCCACGTGCCTGGTAGTAGTCGGCTGTACTTGTGCTAATCCGGCTCAACTATCCGCTCCTCCGACCACCATGTGCCGCGTTTCGGGGCCAAACACTACCGGATTGCATGAAAATTATATTGAATGCTCGCTAACTTTTCCTCATGTCGAGCTGGTTCCCCAGTTGTTCGACTTGGCATCCTTCCCGCAACATCCAACCACACCAACATTGACAGTACCAAATGATTGGAACCATTCAATATTTAACCCATTTCTTCGGTCTCTTGGTATCTAACAGTCCCGGAGCTGCAGCACCGAAAGTTTGTTCGAGGCTAGTGCCATCTGTCTTGCCCTGCGATGCATGATCTTTCTAGTTTCCGCCTTTTGTCCGCCTTTTGAGCACAAGCAAAGTCATCGCAAAGTCTCTGCCGGCTAATAATCAATAAAATCATGCATGAGAAAAAGTAAAACTAGGGACGTTTAATCCATTCCCAGAGACGTCCAGGAAAACAGCCTTCGACTCCAACGAAAACCCCCTACGGCACAGATCCAATCCTGAACGACTATAGCAGTAGTGGTGTAGGTACATGCAGTGTAGGACATGAGCTCTGTAGGATTCAAGATATGCCCAAACGCCATCGGGCCGTTCCACAACATGGTCAAGCGAGAGCTAGGCCGATTGATAGGTCCGGAGGAAGCTAGATGGACACACTGAACTTGTCTTTACGGCGGAGCCTCGTTCACGAGATCACCACGCGACTGAACACCTGACATGAAACAGAAAGGAAATTGCCCGAGTTCGCCGAACAACGTGTGTCGAGACCCTGGCTAGTGGCTGCTGATGGAAACCAGGGTACACGATAACGCTTCATGGACGGTGGTTGTCTCCACTGCCAAGGAAGGAAGCCACAGTGCGAACTCCACGGACAAGACGACGGGACGGTTCTGGGCCATTGAGCCCTTGGAGTCATTAGGTGGGTTGTTATGGACTTTCTTACTGGCCGCCGTGTGGCGAGGGAAGGCATCCTTCAACACTTTGCCACTTGGTTTCTCCACACCATTTCATCCATATCGACTGCATCGACCATCTCGATCCGTGCCATTCCGTCCCGACCCTTCGTTTCTGTCCGCTAGCGCTCCTCTTGGCTCAGTCCTTGGACTCTGGTCTTGTTCGAAAGGGCCAGATTCTGACTTCGGCAGACGCCCCGTGGGATGGAATCAATACCAACCCATCGAATACGAGAATTGTGGACTCCTCAAAGTCCCCAACACCGCGTTCATCGCATTCTGATAGCTGGACTCCATCTCATTTCCCATCTTACGTTACCACGTGCCAAACGGACAGGTAATTTAACCGGTCGTGGGGCACTCCGAGGAGAGCTGTGGAGGGCTTGCTGCTGTTGTGTGACGGCTCTTGTACGCGTGGAAATGGCTTGATGGTGACGCGTGGAAATGTGGAGGATTTTGTAGGATCGATACAGCTACTCGGGTCCTCTGTGACCACTGGCAAGTCCGTTTGACATATGACTTCTGTTAATTCGGGGGCATTGTAGATGTTTTCAAGGTCAGTGTTTCATGGATGGGGATCTTAGTAAAAAGTGGTTGAGCATGCTCACACTCTAACAAAACGATAGCTTTTATAGGCATCTTTGTAACTCGCCGTGATTTGACTATATCTGATTCTATCTTTGATCGTATGAGCAACAGTTGAGGACACGTAGCTGTACTCTAGTCTCTATGGATTAGCACTACACCTAGCACGTATTTTTTCAATGTACGGCTGCAACAAAGGTTCTTCAGTCGAAGACACTGGAAACAAAGTGTGCAGGTTATCAACTTCCTGTCTCAACTCGGCATCAGTCATCTCTTCTAAAGGAGCTACATGTTTGCAATCTCTCCGCCGAGCAATGATAACATCAGCATGCTTGTCCTGTGAGTTCGAAGTCAACGTAAGTGAAAACGAAATTTGACGGCCGATTCGCGATGCTACAGTCAGACTTGCGGCCTTCTCCTTTCAGATGATCACCTGAAGGACAATGAAAAAGAAATGACATACCTCGATAATCTCTTCACACACGTTTACATACTCCTCGGCCTCACGAAAGCTATATCCCACAAGCACAGCGATCCTCCTCTTTGTCTTACCCCCAGACTTCTCTACAAATACCAACCGTCCATGCTCGAAATCCGACTTGACATGCCACCTGCGCGACACATATAGCGGCTTGAAGGTGACCAGCATACCATGCAGTAGTGTCAGTGAAAGAAATGGCTGTGCTCCATCATGCACGATGCAGATTTTGTTAAGACGCGACAAGTCTTTTTCCCACAACAAGCGCCACAACATATGTACTACCAGTTCCCTGCCCGCACCACCACTACCACTACCATCACCGTTGCCATGAGAATCTGTGCGTTGAAATCGGAAATACAGCTCGTCTAGGTTCGGTAATCCCGCGGCGGCAAAGTGAAACCCTTTTACGCGTCGACGCGCTGCTGCCGAGGAATCGCAGACGTATAGCTCTCCGAGACATGCTGGTAGGAGAATTTGAAGTTTGGTTATTTGTGCGGTGCAAGCAGTCGTGAGCAGGGTCTGTGTTTTTTCTGCTAGGTGCTGGGCGCTCAACCATTTGAACGGGTATATGGCGCTCTGTGAGCGCGCAAGAGAGGCGTATTCGGTGTACAGCTGGCGACAAGTCCATGCGATTGCCATGGCACTTCTGGAAAGGCTCGATGCTGGTATACTGCCCGGTGCATGATTAAAGGCGTAGGATACGATTTGGTTCCTGATTTCTCCTGGCAAGGTGAGGAAAGGCGATGTTTGTGTCATCGAGACTTCCCAGTTTATTCAACTCTCTTTCTCCGGGTGTTTATAACGATGGCCTAGTTCATTAATATCGCATAGATCCAATGGCAATATTTTTTTTTCAGCTATCCTGAGATTCGGTATATTCAGGGCAGTTGCTGGTGATGATGGTGAAGATTGCGCGTTGAGGAACGAGAGTGCTTCGCATGGGAGATCGTTTGCTAACTTAGTGGCGGCCCCACAATGACCTCCAACACCCACCATCGTCATCAATTACTTAAAGTGCATGGTTCCATATAGTGGAGGCTCGAGACATCCTTGCTGTTTTAAGAACATTCATTATAATTGGTTGTATCTGTCTGGCGTATGATGTATCGATTTATTTTTCTCATAAGATAATAGTGGGCTACACCCTGACCTGCCGCTATTAGGTATTGAAGAAATTTACTTTACAGCCAGAGCAAAAATTCGTTCATGGATATAGATAAGGTAGTTTAGTTGATTCGGTGTATCATCTAACATAGCCTTGGTCTGGCGAAACTTTTACATTAGTCTTAAACACAGGATAAGCAAGCACATTGGTATTGTAGATGATACAATAGTATTACTCGAAAGCAGTCATCTGGAGTTTTGAACCTAAATAGGCTCTCAGGAGCTGACAGGAATTACGCAGGCAAAACTATGGCAACAACAATAGGAATAAGGCTGACACATTACTGTTTCATAGAATTTCCGTACAAGAAAGATCGAAAAGTTTTCTCAATGAGTACGGTCTCACTCGTCCGCATCGACACATCCAGCATCCTTGCACTTCTTCTTATCGCACACCTTGTGAAAGTCCTTGTGTGCCTTTGCTCCCTCACCGATGAGTTTGCGGAACTGCCCAAACTCACAGCTTGCACCAGGACCGTCCTGGCATGCAGGAATCGGGCGCGGGGCCGTGTTTGCAATGAATCTGACGTAGATACCGGGGCCATCACCATGCTCAGCTCCTCTTTCGCATGTCATCTTCTCCATGCCCACGTGTCCGAGGAAAGGAATCAAATCGCTCATTTTCCATGCACGCGTCCAATTGATGTGACCGGTAGGAAACTGTTCAGCTGCATTGGACGAGCTATTGAAAAGTCCCAGGGCTGTTGCAATGAACGGGGGTACTTCGCGGTGGGTGAAACCGAGAAAGAAACGCTGCTTGTCCGGCCAGCCGTCACCAGGCGTGTCGTGTTTTTCAATATGTGCAAAGAGTTCGGATTGTGCTTGCAGCCAGGGAAAACCGAGATAAGGCGACAGTGGGTTGAGGGGACCGACCATGTGAGCATACTTCAGGTCCCAGGCATACTCGTATGCCATCCATTCCGAGTCTGTGAATTGCTCGCAAATGGGGCTGCGCTCGCCTTTGATGGCAGATTCGTAGCCGCAAAGCATTTGAAAGCCTACGATGTCCTTGGGCTCTAGCTTGAAGGGTACATATGGAGAAAGCCTCTTCGCAACGCTCTTGCCGTACAGCTCAATGACTTTTGCCTGCTCCTTCTGGCCTGGCTTCTTGGAAAAGTTCTTGCAGGACTTGTGTGGAATGAGGTACTCCATAGAGCCATTCTTGTTCTCCGTGATGCGCACAATCTCAATGTCATTCTCTTGAGGAAAAGCCTTGATGAAGTTTTCGGCAGTGTCAAACGTCCTGCTCTTCTTGTCCGCCAATATTCTCCTTGTTTCTGGGACGAGGTGTGGGTACCGCTGCAATAGGTGCTTTCCGACAAGCTTTGCGTCTACCGCTCCTGACGGGGTCAAATCTTCCAATTTGTCCTCCAAGATTGGTGATTGCCATTTGCTCATGAAAGCCAGTGGTCCTGACCATCCCTGTCTGTGCTTCTCCAGCTTCCAAAGAAATGGGCTGATGTACTCTTCGTATTCATCATCATTCGAATAGATGGCGCCATGGCGAATGATGTAACTTGCTGCCGTAACACGGCAGCCTACCGGTGGTGTGTGCTCGAGACCGAAGCCTGCTTGCAGAATGAGTAAATGGCTCCACAGTCAGTCTCGCAACATAATGTACTGACCTATAGCATCGAAGTAGGGTGATATGCCAGGAAGATGCAGCAGCGGGTCGAACTTATAGTTTTGCGAATGCTCAAGTGGCCTAAGTGGTGACTGTGCTTGGCCTTGGGTCTGTAGAAACGAGGGTAGTGTCAAAGCCGAGGCTGGAGCAGCCAACAAGAAAGCAGAGAAAAACATTGGAGCCGTCACCGGGGAAGCTTTCCGTGCAATTATGGGGCCAACTGCAGTTATCTACAAGGATGGATTTTAAGAAGCTTGACATGGGGCGACACGCTGTTTTGTTGTCTTTTTAATATTCAGTGACGTACATGGTCCCACTACTAGGTACTTTGGATGCGCTAGCAGTCCAACGCGCCGCACCAACGCGGCAGAGCCAAGGGCTTGGATATCGTCACTTGCAGCTTGTTATCTACACCTATGTATACAGGATCTGTGCAGTCTGTTGCGCATCGCATTCAAGCATAGAAACCATGCTTGGGAACTATTCTCGGCGCTTCTCAGACGGTAGAGCGTAACTGCGTTCATCCAATCACCTCGATCACTTGTCAGACACAAAATCTGCTACAGTAGGTGTCATCCCGGGCCATTGGAGATGGAGAAAGGTTGCAATTTAGGTTGTGCAAGCAGGAGTACTAGACTATTAAGACTGGTTGGAACTGCCAGCTGCGACACCGTCGTGACCGTTCCACAACCGGATACATGTCGCCAAGTATATTGCCGCATATTGTGAACAGAACATATGGGCAGGTGGCGCGTAGATAGACACTACTTCATCACCATTGCTCTCCATCAAGGTCTTCCTCTCCTGTAACGACTCTACGCGCACAAAGACCACGACGTTCTCATCTGCTTGGCCAATGCCCTGTTGCGGGCGCCGTCCGTTGTTCGTGTTGTAATGGAAGCCGTTGCTTAGTTTGTCAAATGCAGTCGCAATATCGTCATGGAGCTGATCAACCGGCGATATCTGCCATTCGAAGTAGTATGCTTTCTGCGGTAGCAGTGACAAGAATAGACGCCTTGGTGATGTTCGTATTGAATGCTAGCCGTAGCATCACAGACCAAATAATCATGTCCTAAATAATCAGTCGGATTCGTGTATACCGCAAATATAGCGAGATTTGTAAGAAGCCTGGACTAGCACGACGCCTTAACGCTTTGATGCCAACGCCGATGGCAGAGTATGTGCGAAAGTAGACGTTGTGCGAGACCCAAGGCGACTTTCTCGAGGGGAAGAGCAGGAATCATACCAGTTGACGTCTGACAGTTGTAGCTTTCTTGCGCGTTGGTTGCTGCGATTGGTGCCAGCTTTGTCAAGGCGTGGCTGCGCATATGGATTCGGAGTCTTGTCCAGACCTTTAAATGATTTAGTATGCTTCCCATTGGTGTTAGGCTGAAGGGTGTAAAGAAATGGTGAATCACCAGTTGTATCGTCGGCATCCTCGCGAGCTTCATTGTAGTTCAAAACAAGGCTCTTGATGCGCTGTCGTTCCTCTGTATCGGCTTGTTGCTTGTTGCGCATGGCGACAGCAAAAGTTGAATCTGAAGGTAGGTCAATAGATCGGGTTTGCGTGCGATTGCCACGTTTGCTAAGCAGCGAAAACTTCATAGTCTGCGATGAAGGTGGAGCAACTGGAGCCGGTGCTTCGCCTCCACTGTCTTCGGCATTTACTGGAGCCTCTCGGGCACGCCGCATGGGTAACGGCACATCAAATACAGGCTTTCGATCATGCTTGCGCGACTCTGCGCTCTCAGACATGAGCTTAGCAAGCTCACGGTCGAATTCGGCGTCGGCCTCTGGGTCGCGTTCATCTTCCTGGCGAGTCACGACAATGCGTTCCTCTTCCTCGTCGGACGAAGCTTGCTTGACGGGCTCATCATCTTCTGACTCGTCTTCTTCCTCACCAGATGACTTATCGCCTTCCCCTTCTGGCATCTCAACATCCTCGTCGTCTGGGCCGTCCAGCTCGTCGTCGGATGCGGAAACATCATCATCATCCGGCTCCACAGGCTTATCGGTTGCTGTTGTCTGATAGTTTTGCTTGACAGCTTCAGCAAAAGCACGTGAAGCTTCTTCTGGGTCGGTGATCATCTTCCACTGCGGACGAACAAGATTGTATGCATCCTGAACAATGAACTCTACGTCCATGGGCAGGGCCTCCTTCATGCAAACGTAGTACTGCAAAAAGGTAAGGAAGAAATCGAGCTTCTTCTTTGCAGCACCTTTATCGTAGTACATGCCACATGTTTCCAGAAGGTTACAGACCAAGCGGATGCGGAAGTAGTCGTCTGGAAGATCGAGAGGGTTGTAAACTCCAGGGCGTATATATCCGCCCTCCCAACCGTAGTTCAAGAGTTTGTAGAGCGTGTCAAATACAAGAGGCGAATCAACAAGCCGATATATATACAGCTCTCCAAGATACTTGACTTCCGAGATTCGCCGCTGATTAAATTTGAAATCGTTCAACTCCAATCCGAAGGTGATGGATTCGAGCAGGTCATCGACGACAGAAATGGCAAAGTCTTGATGGAACCGATGAATAGTTCCTAGCATCACGGCGAGAAGATGAATGTTGCTGTACTTGATCTTTCCTGGCTTTGCAAACACTTTGTGAAGGAGATTGACTACGTCTTCTTCCTCCCAGTGCATCTTGCGAATCTGCTTGATAGTTTTGTCGAGCGAGCGACGGGTCAAATCCTGGTACATGATCTTACGAAGGAAAAGCTCAATCGGGGTACGTTCCTTCTGTTCAATTGCGGCACGTTGTGGGGGGTTCACGTAGTAAACGGCGTTTTCAATCAGCATACGCTCCTGCTGGCCGATGACCTGGGCTGCTTTTTTACGCTGGAGAGTTTCCAAGAAAGAAGCCATGCGAGGAGATGTTTCCGGGTTGCGGAGTAAATACCGGCCACAGTTCTCCAGCAAGTTGCAGATAATCTCAATGTTCATGCGTGAAAAGTCGTCCAAGCTGACCTTGAGACAATGGAAAATGACGTGCTCCGGAACGACACCGAACTTGGTCAACTCGGCGAGGTAGCGAACATTCTGTGTACGCACTTGTCCGAGAAAGTCTTTGGACTTGCGCCGTTGCAGGCTTCTGAATTCCTCATCCAAGTAGGACACCAGCCCTTGGGGGACATCAGACATGTACTTGCCCAGTGTTGCAATCAGTCTAGAATAGAGAGGCAACAGGTCGGACCGTCCTTTTGGAATTTCCTGAACAGCCTTGATGAGGCGATTCCGTGAAGCTTTGGAGTTCAAGAAGCAAAAGTCCATTGCAGTTTGGTCTACTGCATCCTTGGTTGCAAGTTCTGGTAAGCGTGCCAAAAGAGCGTCGACCTGTGCGCCAACGGATTTGTTGGCAATGGCAGTAGACTGGTCATCCCCATCGGCCACTTTACCATCAGCAGCGTTGTCGGGTGCTTCTTTTTCGGGACTCTCGGTCTTGGGCTCAATTTTCTTGCCAACTTGCTCATCACCATCAGCCTTCTTCTTCTTAACTTCCTCAAGCAGAATTCCAGGGACACGGTCTTTCAAGTCAATTAGGTTTTCGTAAAAGCGGCGTTCTTCCTCATCTTCCCAGATACCAGCTCCGTCGCTTTGGCCACGTAGGTATTCACCGGCCTTGATCAGGCCAATTGAACCATCGCCCGTGTTCGCAGAGCCGTCCTTTTCCTTCAAGTCTGGCATATCTGCGTTCAACGCGTCAGCCAAGATTTGAGCGTTTGCAATGAGCTTTTCCTGCGACTTCATCTGCTTCTCATAGTTGGACTGGCGATCTTCAAAGACCTCTCCAGACTTGACATATGCTTCGGCATTCTTGCGGCCTTGGCTAAGTATGTGTTTCTGATCGCGAAGGAGATGTGCTTTGACATCTTCGAAGTAACGGGTGAGGATATTTTTGAATCGCTGCTGCAGTTCTGGAGAGATGAGTGAAGGGTCTTTGCTGGCTTCATCTTCTTCCTCGGCACCAGACAAGTCACCGTTCTTTTCGGGCACTGTGGTTCCATCGTCATTGACAGTCTTGCGGCCCTCTGTAGAAGGTGGTTTGGTGCCGAGTATATCCCATGCAAAAGCCTTGACAAATATGACAACCAAAGGCAAGTTGACGTGTTCGCGGTCGTGTCCCAGCATGTCCTTCAAGACTTCCAGCGGGAAAGGCTCGGCGTCGGCATTTTCTGCGCGAGACTTTGTCTTTGTCGAGCCTTCAACAAGCTTGCCATTGTCTTTGCCCTTGCTCGCTTCTTCGGGCCGGGTTACGTCATCCAGGCTTCTCAAGACACCCACAAGCCAGAGTTCTGTAGCAACACGTAGAAGCACGCGCTGGCGTGCCAGGCGCTCCTTCTCTTCTCGCTCGCGCACATCCTGCGCGAGGGTTTTCAGGTGTGACTTGTCCGGGGTCGCAAGTCCCCTCCCTATGTACCAGCCAATGTATCCCGTGAATTCTGCGGGGCCAAAACGTTGATGCAGAGCGCTAACAATTTCGACGCCGGCGGCAATCTCTCCTGGAGTCTTGAGTTTGCACAGACCTTCGTAGCAGGCAGAAATAATTTCGGAGAGGTATTTATGGAGGGACAAGGCGCGAATTTCTTGGAGGAACTGGGCTTGGGCAGGTGCGTTGATGGCGGTTCGGAGGCGCTTGATAAAGGCGGTATTCTTTTTCATGGACGAGTCGAGTGAGGCTTGGACAGCAAAGACATCTGTTTGTACGGTCAGCAGGAGAGTGGGGGAATTGTCAGTGTGGTAGAGTCATTTACCTTGGTCGCCATCCCAGGCGCGAATATTGAGTTCACGCAGCTCTCCTGGTCACCATTAGCAGCAGGCTTTGAGGCAGTATGCGAGAGCCTACGCTTTCTGTGCCGCTCCATGGTGGAGTAAGCGATGCCGCAGCTGTGGAGGGGCAGCGGACGATAGCACGGATCGGTTATGATACGCGCACATGGACGGGAGATATATCGGGCGCAGCTGCTACCTGCATTTGTCTGGGCTTGGTTGAACAAGCTGGCGTGAGAGGACGAGTGTTTGCGACTCTGGCAATGCCGAGGCGGAGGGGACTTCTGGTCTGGTTCCGCGCTGGTGCGAGTGTAAATTGTACCTGCAGCGGCTTCACTTGTCGTGACTGTCCGTGCGTCATCCCAGTGCAGTGTCCCGCGGTTGAGAGAGGGTTTGGGTGACTAAGCGGGTTTTTGGATGTTGCCAGGCCCAACTGTGGTGCTCCTCCTCCTCCTCCTCTCAAATGGTCGTCGACTTGAATTGCACCTCATGGACAAATCCAAAAGACCATGACAACTGATTAAAAATGCATGCTGGTGGTTCAAGGATGGACAGTCGTGAGCTTTGAAGCGATTGATTGCACAGCTTTGCAACCATGATTTGCTCAGTAGAGCAGTACTACTACTATCACTCTAGGGTATAATGAAGTGTAGCAAGACTGCCATATCCAAGCGCACCATGTGTCTTTGGCGGCGCACGCGATTGACGCGATACAGGCATGACAAAAAGCACACATATATGTAGTTGGTGTTATAGATTGTATGTATCAAGTATGGTATGTAAGTATGTATTTGCTTCAGGGCCGCAGAACAGGACAGGATTACTAGAGCTTTTGTGGCAGCATTGCCAAGCAAGGGCGAAACCGATCAAGGCGATCTGGTACCATTTTCGCATATTGCACATGGGCAAGGACCCTTTTTCAGAGAGTTTGAAACCATGTTAGGTATACATGTACAGAGTTGGACGAGGCCCCCAGTGGCGGCGTTGCCAGACGGGCAGAAGCAATAACGGGAAGCTGAAACAGCAAAACCAATAGCGTCTTAATCTCGACAGAACAAGTAAACCCCTGAGTATGGGGGCAGAGCTCCTGGTTTAGTTTGCGAATGGGCTCGATTCACATTTAGATGGAACACTGGGTCAGGCGGATGATATAATGAGGCACCCCACTCTAAGTACTTGTAGGTGGTAGATAGGTGTGTGTGTGTGTGTGTGTGTAATTCAGGGGTGAGGGAGAGGACGAGTACGAGGGCAAGGCTGAGGTGGCAGCGTCCAAGCAGTACATAGTCAATACGGCGGCGCTATGGCGGATGATTCGCGAAGAGACATGGGGGGGCGGCTAAATAGCCGTACTTCCTTACGAGGAGGCACCGACAAGAGGCGATTCTGGACCCAAGGGGGGAGCACATCATGGGCCAAGTCAGCAACGAGCGAGCGGTGTGCTGTTCAACACGGCAAGGGTTGAGCAGGTGGGAAAAGCAGCATGTGGCGGGCGATTGAGTTTGCATTTGCATTGGAACATGGACACCTGCACATGGACACTTATTTTCCCATGGCAACGGGTCGGCAGGCCAAAGACGGCGCATGAGCAGGAGCAGGTGCAAGCGAGACTCAGCACTATCGATTGCGCGCCGGCGGACGCATGAACGCATACGGGATGGCGAAAATTACACCTAATAGTGACTGGTGGCTGAAGTGGCTCCCGAGGTGCAACAACCACGTTTCCATATGCGACATGACGAGGACCACGCCGAGCGCAGCAGTGGCAGTGGGGGGGAAAGGGGGGGGAGTTAAAAATGGCCAGCTGCGGGTGTCGGTACAAACGGATGCAGCACGGGGCACTGGTGTTTGTCATTGGGCAGGGTGTTGGGACTGCCACAGCCGCCTTGTGCTTTTTTTTTCTTAAAGCGGGTCGCTCTAGCATCCCCACCGCGTGCTCGTATTTTGGCAAGAGTATTTTTCCTAGCGCTCAATGCTCCCCGGTATAGCGGCGTAGGAGAAAGCGAAGGAAAGGGGGGGAGGGAAGACGGATGCAGCGGAGCGTTTGTTGTCACGGGCAGAGTAGGAGCGAGCAGTGGTTGCCGCGCAGTGTGACAGATGGACATGACAGGCAGGCAGCCTTGCCGTTGGGGTTTCAAGACGAACATGAATCGACGACTAGGTGTTGGATGCTACATAGGGACAACGGCAGAGGCGCATGGCGGCTGACACGTTTGGGTGTGGGAGTGGGTGTTTCTGGGGAGGAAGGGAGGGAGTGGGAGGGAGTGGGAGGGAGTGGGAGGGCGTGAGCGGGTGGTGTGGTATGGTGTGGTGGGAGTGGGAGTGGGTGTACGGTGCGCAGGCCCCCCTGAGTGCCCACGGTGCCCAGTAGGCAGGCGAGGCTAGCCAGGACTTGGCAATGCTATAGGCACGTAGCGGCATGGAAGCAGCGTCCTAATCTCCAATCGCCATGCGCACGCCGTGACAGGACGTCATGTTACAGTGCCATGGTCCTCATGACGTGCGTTTTTCGCGGCTACCGTGGCCGTCGACTGCAAGTGCTTCCTGCTTCTGTCCTCTGCCGTGTGCGTGTGCGTGTGCGTATGCGTGTGCCGTGGACGGACGCGGGCGCCGACTGCCATGGTCGCACTCGTTAGCTGGCACGCATAAATGCTGGCTGGCTGGTTATCCCGAGGCCAAACCCCCGGGGCGGGACAGCAAGCGAAACGCAGACGAGGAACCAAAGACGGAGAGAACCAATACCAGCGGGCGTGCAGTGTACAGGATTCCAGCCAGGCGAGGGCAGGGGGCCGGCGCCCAAAATAAACGTGCAATGGGCCACGAGTAGCGCGTGCAATGGTTAGTATGCGATAGTAAGTAATACCGTGTAGGGGCAGACACGCCCAAAGCCCCTGCACGACGTTCATTTTCGAGTCACGGGCGCGGACAGGCCTGCCTAAGCGGGCGCCGCCCTCCCCTGTGCCGATCGCGCCTTCCAACTGCCGCCCAGCCGCGCTAGCCCCCTCTGGGATATGGTCCCATGGCCCGAGCGCCCCGCCGTGTCTCTCACCAGCCTGTAAACCAGGCCAGTCCCGCTGCGAGACCAACGACGACTTTTGTTCCGTTTCACCTGCAGGCGCCTCATTGCATCTGCTTGCTTCCTCCCCTAGCCTGGCCGTTGCTCCTCGCCTTCTTATCCTCCATGGTCCTGCCTTGAGCCCTGCCTTTGTTTGCTTCCTTTGTTCCCAACCTTTACACTCGTTTACCACGGCTCTGCACCCTCCAACCCACCCCCCCCGCTGCATTAAAAGGCCTGCCGCCAGCGCTACTGCTACCGCTGCCTTTGCCGCCGCCGCCGCCACAAGCCACGGCCGCCATCGACAACTAGCACCAGGCCCCGTGTGCACCGCATTTGTGCAATCCCACTCTTCACGGTCGCCCTATACGGCCATTTTCTAGTCTCGTACCACCACTACTACCACTACCACTACCACTACTGCTTCTGCTGCTGCTGTTGCTTCCCAACTCCACGGCGCAGCCGCCACGCCTGCACCTTTCACACTCGCTCCATAGCTGTCCGCGACAGACATCAACACTCGCTACTCGCACCCAACGATACCACGACCACATACTCCTAATTATCCACAATGGCCTCGCACCACCTCATGGGCCTCGTAGCCCGAGCAGATGACAGCATCCCTGACATCACGGATCCTTGGCCGACAAAAGACGTGAGTATCTTGCTTATCCGCAAACTTGTCTTCTCCTTACTCACTGACTGCGCCAGATCGTCTATGTCTCCATCATCGCCCCCCTCATGCTCATGGCCCTGCTCGAGTGGTTTCTCTGGGTCGCCGCATTCATGTACTGCATCGTCAAGGTGTTCCAAAAGGCAGAGACCATGAGTGTGCGCATTCTGTCCATCTTCTTCGGTATTCTCTTCTTCCTCCTCCGGTAAGCTACACCTCCCATCCGCAAAAGACCGCTTCTAACAGCAGCAGTGCCATCTTCTTGCCCATCATGGTCGTCACCCTGCCGCTCCCCCCGCAGGTCACCAAATACTTTCCCGAGGAAATGGTTAGCTTCTTCCAGTGGTTTGCCTTTTGGTCCTTTGCCGGTCTCCTGACGGTTCCCTGGCTGTTCTGCGTCTACCAGCTAGTCACCCACTCGGTTGGTCGTACCCGCAGGATCAAGTCGGTTCTCGACGAGTCGTCGGCCCCCAAGGTCGTCATTGTCATGCCTTGCTACAAGGAGATTCCCGAGATTCTGCTGCGAACTTGCGATTCGCTCGTCGACTGTGAATACCCACCTTCTTGCCTGCACATTTTCCTCTCCTTTGACGGAGACCAAGAGGATGAGCTCTACCTCAACACCATCGAGAAACTCGGTGTGCCCCTTACCCTCGACTCTTACCCAAAGTCCATCGACGTCATCTACCGTAGCTGCCGTATCACAATCTCGCGCTTCCCCCACGGTGGAAAGCGTCACTGCCAGAAGAGGACCTTTAAGCTGATTGACAAGATCTACACCGAGTACCTCAAGCGCAACGACAACCTGTTTGTGCTCTTCATCGACTCCGACTGTATCCTTGACAAGACGTGCATTCAGAACTTCATGTACGAGATGGAGCTCAAGCCTGGCAGCAAGAAGAACATGTTGGCCCAGACTGGTGTCATTACATCGACGACGGAGAAGCAGTCCCTCATCACCCTTCTCCAGGACATGGAATACGTTCACGGTCAACTGTTTGAGCGTTCGGTCGAATCTGGTTGCGGTGCCGTCACCTGTTTGCCCGGTGCTCTTACCATGCTTCGTTTCTCGGCCTTCCGCAAAATGGCAAAGTATTACTTCGCTGACAAGGCCGAGCAATGCGACGACCTCTTCGATTACGGCAAGTGCCACTTGGGCGAGGACCGTTGGCTCACTCACTTGTTCATGGTCGGCGCCAAGGAACGTTACCAGATCCAAATGAACCCCGGTGCTTTCTGCAAGACTGAAGCTGTGCAAACCTACCAATCTTTGCTCAAGCAACGTCGCCGCTGGTTCCTGGGTTTCATCACCAACGAAGTGTGCATGTTGACTGACATCCGTCTCTGGAAGCGCTACCCCATCCTTCTCG